CAATCAGAATGTTACAAACAAATAGGCCAATGAAAATACTTCTAACAATAATCATCTTGTATCCGTTTGTGTGAGGGTATTTTTGGAAAAAAAAGAAAGCTTTTCTCCTGCGAAGAGTTTAAAAAGCTTACGCTAGCTGACGAGAAACAGGATCTCGTAGATAATTTTCTAGGGAAGGTCCACGTGGAAATGAACAACGATCCGATTTGGCAATGTACATGAATATAATTATTTATCTCGCAATTGATCTTAGCGGAGTGCTCAGAGACGTCTGAACTTACTTCTTACTTTCAGCGGCAAGCGCCAACCAGTTAGATTTGGCGAGAGTCGTGGTGGAAAGAACCGTCATGGCACGGGTATACCACAATGTGCTCTATCTAAATGAAGATGGAGATGTATATAGGGACCAGCTTTTTCACGGTCATATCAATAAGTTGGCAAAGGTCGTAACTTCAAATCACAGGGACCTACGCATTTCAAAAGTTTATCATTACGAATGCCCCTGGTCATGGGCGCAGGCTGAATTGGCTGTGATATCGGCGTATAAGACTCCTAGAGATAAGTTGCAGTGTGTATTTTGTTGCGCGACTACCATCATGAATCTCTTCTCCATGGCGTCGGAAAGAGGCATACCTGCTGCCGACGATCTGACTCCCGTGCTGGTCTTCAGGTATGTCATAATCAAGGTATGCTATTGAAAAGAAAATTGTGATTTTAGCAAGAAAAGTGATTGTTAACGTGTGCTTAATTTCAGACTAATCCGCCGTCGTTGTATCGACTGTTCAATATGTATAGACAGCTTTTACGGGAATCGATTGGAGGGAGAAGAACAATATTGGTGGACGCAGTTCTGCGCCGCGATCGAGTTAAGACAATGGATTAACAGTTTCTCAAGAGTATCACGATAAATAAGATTAGATTCGATGCTGGTGATAATGTAGAAATGTATCATAATCATAATTTGACGATTTCATAAAGAAGAAGACCAATATCTTGTGTAAAGCTAGCTGAACAGTTTTATGCTTCCAGTATCAATTAAAATTCTTAAATAGCCTCTTAAATAGTCTAACTGTTAGTTCTTTCGCACGTTATTATGTATAACATTAGCAAAAACTGAATCAGATTATACGTAAAGTGTGGCTTTATCTTTATTTGTAACTCTATTGTACAATGTCACAGGACATCGAAAAAAAAAGAAACGTTTAGATATTCTATAATTTATGTACAATACAGAACTTATAGAGAATTGATAACCATTTAGCAGGATAAACTGTGTTGGCGTACTCTTTCTACATGCGCACTTTCCTCAAGAGCCGAGACTCGAACCAGATCCGTGAAAAATATCGCCAATTTCATAGAGCCTTTGTACAGTTTTACTTTAGGAATATCGCGAGAGAAAGAAAGACTTCGGAGATTTTTATCTGAATCGATCGACATAAAGAGAGAGCTTAGTAAAGAAGCTATTAGCTTTCGAGAATTTGAACGCATAATACTTTGTTATAATACTATGAGCGAATTAGTTTACGTCACTCTGTCAAGTTTTAATATTAAATTACTAATAATATATCGATATCGGTAGTTTAATAATAATACATTTAAAAGCGCTCAATTTAAAAGTAGGGCAATTCTAATAAACGACTGTAAAAAAAATTCAAGGTGGAACGCAATGGACAATCCGGTTGCTCTGACATGCTAACTTAAATGGCAAAAAGTACTTCTCAGCGGTAATGACATTTGAGTCTCTTTTAATTGGGTTGTGGCAGGGCGTTTGAGATAACCTGCTTGAGATAACCCTACACAGCTGGTATATCTTTACAAACTTAATTAGCAACTATCGCTTATAGCTACAGTCTTATTAGCCTGTATATTTATTTATTTCAGTATAAAATAATTTTTAAAACGTTCATATTAAATGATAATTAAATTCTGATTGCAGACGGACCTTCGGGAACACTAGCGCCTTCTTCTTTTAACATGAATAACTAAAAATCTATATTTCGGCTAATTACCGAGTTTATAAATATTTAATTAAAATTATCTGGGTGACTCACAAACCTTTTTAATCACACTTCATAACTCTTCATACAAAATACAAACAATTCCGTATAAAAACTTTTATTAATTTATCTATTTCGGCTAAATGCATGGTGTAAAAATAATTAATTAATTACAATTAAACGAATGACTCACAAACCTTTTCAATTGCACTTCAAAAGTCTTCATACGAAATACAAACGATTTCATATGGTAGATTTTTTCCCGGACATTCATTTCCGGTCAAATACATACGAATAGCGGACAAACATACATTCATTTATATAAAGATAGAAATAAAAATATGAATTTATTACAATGTATGTATTTCTTGTGCTAATAATATAATAATTTGTAACAAGTATAATTGCTTATCCATTTTTATTAGTAAGCTTAATTTTTTTTAAACGTATGGATGCAAATTTAGTAGCTTTGGTCACTGCTTTTTCTATATACGTCCCAAAATCTTGTGACACATGTGTAGATTTCATACTGGCAATTAAGGGCATCCTATAGTGGTAGTAGTTACCGACATTTGCAGATTCGAAGAATTCTTTGAATTGGCTTTACAAAATTGCAATTTTCTGGTCTAGAATTAAAGTACGCACAAAAATCTATTTCCCGATACACGATTTCATATCAAAAACAAAAAAAAATAAAAATTTGGGCACATAGAGCTGTCACCTGACGACAATATTTGCTTAAACAAAAAAACTGCAGTTTATATGTACAAAATGATACACAAGGAAAGTAGAGACAACATTTAGGAACAATTTCGTGTAAATAGAACTAAGATTCAAAGCCTAGAAAAAAAGATTTTTACTAACGCAGCTTTATTAAGCAAAAGCACATTCAGGTTCTCAGCAAACGAAAAAAGATTGAAAAGAATTAAAACGGGATTGCCAGGAATTCAATTAAGGACTTTCCGAATTCCATTCTGTCCAAAAAAGGGATTGAAATAGTTTCAATATCATGGAATTCCTTATTTTGGAAAAAATTTGTCTTTTTTGAATCCCATCCAATTCCGACACAAAAATATTATATCACTGAATGCCAGATTAGGGATTGGAAAGTTTCGTGATGAATTCCATTGAATACCATTGATTCCGTTAACGAAATGAATACCATTGAATGCCAAACTAGGAATTAAAATTTTCCGTATTGAATTCCGTCTATTCTGACAATAAAATGAATACCATTGAATGCCAGGATAGGAATTGAAAAGTGTCCGTGTTGAACTCTGTGGCGGTACGCGCCACCAATAGTACACGCCCGCGCGGTATCTGCATTACCGGCAGTTCGCGTCGACGCCGCTAGGCGTCGCATCGCCGGGGCATCTTCTCGAGTTGAAAGTTTTGTCTCGACCGCTATGTAAAGGGACCCCCTACGGGGCCTGACAGATCTTACAAATTTCATTTTCGGGCTAATTGCCTGTCGGCAGTAGTGCGTGTAATGCCCTTAGGCATACACAAAAGCTCACCGATGAACAACGGCGCTTAGTCGCCCAACGGAGGCGCGAGATGTTTCCTAAACCATCTAATGCCATGCAATTCCATAACCTTTACGGATTCCATAGGATTGGATAAAATTAAAATTTTTCTTTTTTGGATTCCATGGGATTGGACCATCTCATTTCGAATCCCATCTAATTTTATCTAATTTCGCCAAAAAAAGGAATTCAAAGGTATTAAACAATTTTAATATTTTTTAATCCTTTTGCGTTTGCTGGGTTGATAGAGGATAAGCAGTATTGCGTGTAGCGAGAGATGGCGCAGCAATCGAACAAAGACAGATGCCTCTTGTTAGACAAGGACAGGACGATCCGATGTCAGCAATACATTATAGTTTCTGTATCTCAACTGTTCCTTCAGTGCTCTCTCTAAGCCATAATGAACATATAAGTACATGCCTCCAGCGAGAGCCTATATATCAATTCTGTTTGGCGTGTCACATAATGTCCCAGCAAACGAAAAAAGATTGAAAAGAATTAAAACGGGATTGCCAGGAATTCAATTAAGGACTTTCCGAATACCATTCTGTCCAAAAAAGGGATTGAAATAGTTTCAATATCATCGAATTCCTTATTTTGGAGAGAATTTGTCTTTTTTGAATCTCATCCAATTCCGACACAAAAATATTATACCACTGAATGCCAGGTTAGGGATTGGAAAGTTTCGTGATGAATTCCATTGATTCCGTTAACGAAATGAATACCACTGAATGTCAGGTTAGGGATTGGAAAGTTTTGTGATGAATTCCATTGAATACCATTGATTCCGTTAACGAAATGAATACCATTGAATGCCAAACTAAGAATTAAAAATTTCCGTATTGAATTCCATTGAATTCCGTCTATTCTGACAATAAAATGAATACCATTGAATGCCAGGACAGGGATTGAAAAGTGTCCGTGTTGAACTCTGTGGCGGTACGCGCCAACAATAGTACACGCCCGCGCGGTATCTGCATTACCGGCAGTTTGCGTCGACGCCGCTAGGCGTCGCATCGCCGGGGCATCTTCTCGAGTTCAAAGTTTCGTCTCGACCGCTATGTAAAGGGACCCCCTACGGTGCTTGACAGATCTTACAAATCTCATTTTCAGGCTAATTGCCCGTCGGCAGTAGTGCGTGTAATGCCCTTAGGCATACACAAAAGCTCACCGACGAACAACGGCGCTTGGTCGCCCAACGGAGGCGCGAGACGTTTCCTAAACCATCTAATGCCATGCAATTCCATAACCTTTACGGATGCCATAGGATTGGATGGAATTTAAAATTTCTTTTTTGGATTCTATGGGATTGGACTATCTCATTTCGAATCCCATCTAATTTCATCTAATTCCGCCAAAAAAGGGATTTAAAGGTATTAAAAAATTTTAATATTTTTTAATCCTTTTGCGTTTGCTGGGGTCCTGACATCAAACGGAAGCTCAGGATGACCAAATTTCTTTAACCCTCTCAAAAGATCGTTCACAAGGGATTGAGGTATTTTGTTTTGGATTGCCCAATGAGCAAGAAAATTTTGAAGATCAGTTATACTAGTGGGACGAGTGATAACCCTTACAAAAATATTTCACCGCTTTTACACCTCACATAGATCGTTTTTAGCCCGTTTTTAGCCTGTTTTATCATTTTTATGTCCGTTTCTTGCACTCTCAAACACGCGCAGTCTACATGATGAGTATACGCGAGTATGCAATCGTACACAATCCGCTTTAACCACTCGTTTTTAAGCAAAAAGGCCCCTTTGCGCCCCAAAAACGGGTCGTACTCATTGCCAAATGCACGTTTTTACTACTCAAACTGACCGTTCTCGCGGTCCAAAAACGGTGAAAAATTTTTATAAGGGAATCGATTGAGACTGATTCTCCATCTGGATATCTGTATTAGTCAGTGTCGGTCTTTCATTGATTAGTAAATTGAGATCACCTGCGTCATCAAAGCGTTCAAGATTATCAAAGAAATCATCAATTTGATGACAAACGTCATTGGGAATATTAGAAGCACGAGCTGTTGGCGGTGAGCATGAAGGACTAGACGCAGCATTTGCTAAATAATCGAGATCCGCTTGCACAAGGGTGCGGATTCGTCGCCTTTGATGCTGTCTTCGCGAGAGCTAAAGGAACGGTTTCCACCGTCTCAACGGAGGTCCCATGGCATAATCTAATAATGTATCAATTAACCCTTCAACTATTAAATGAAATTAAAACACAGAATAGATCAGTAATATTACTTTTTCTACTCACAACTTTTTCCAGATGTAGAGAAAATACTTTATTTATATTATTTATTACTGCGTGTATAACTCGGTATAACCTGAAAAGTACATTGTGTATTATAGTCACGTACGCTTTATGATATATGCATATGTATATATATATTAAAAATATAGAAAAAGCGAAAGTATATACTTACACGTGTATTAATTACACTTATATATTTACGCACTTTTTGTCAAACAATTTGTCGCTTTGGAATAAAATACGTGCTAATACGTGCGGCGCAATAAAATCTCGACTTCTAGATATTTCCATAATCAAGAAGATGTCGTAAAAATTATAACTTTCCTACATCGTTTTAATGACATCAATAACGCCACTACATCATGATATCTACCTAATGACATCTTTTGGACTACAACAAAAGGCAGAAACAGCGCTACCGATAGATACCTTTTGGACAACTTTTATGAAGATATTTTCGGATAACGTTAAATTGATGATTTTTCGATGCCTTAAAACAGCCCCGCGAAAAACGATCTAATATGAATCTAACTAAAATCATATTAAAT